TTTCATCATTTTTAACATTGACTCTATATCCCATTTAAACCTAACAATGATCTCCTCACTTCCAATTCTTTTACTTAATTTTGCACTATACTGTGTCCTTCCTATTGTTTTCTATTTGTCCTCTTTACTATTATTTTAATCTGCCATTAATTCCCTTTAACGATTCAGTTCTACGTTAACTCTTAAATCCTACTGTTATACTTAATTATTCTCTATTTTGTTAACTGCAACCTTATTGTCCCTCTTCCCTTTTTATTTTTATTTTTCTTCTTATATACACTCTGCTTTACTCTAACAAATTCTCCCCATTGTTCCTTCAGAAACTTAGGGGGGATGCAGACGGGCAGCCTTGGGCTGCTCCAGGAAATGGAGGATTGGGGCTGAGGCTGCCGGACACATTGGCCCCAATCCTCCCTTTTGCCAGCCTGGAAAAGAGCCAGCAAAAGGGCACCCTAAGAGCTGCCATGTGGCTCTTTGGCACCCCTTCCAGTGCAGCACGTCAAAAAGCTGTGCCAGAAGGACCTCCTGCTGCTGTGCGCTGTGTGTAAATGGTGCATGGTGTCAGGACATCTTTGGGGAGGGTTGAGGCGGCTGGCGTGTGGCTGACCCTCCACATCCCTGCCTCCAGGACAGCCAAAAGGGCCCATCTGTAGAGGCCTTTAATTACCAATACCCAATCTTCATTAAACTTTTCCAATGCTTTATTTTTCAACAGCTGTGTCAACTTATCTCCTTCCATTACATCATATCACTTCCATATCCAGTCCTCTTTTCTATTTTGGTGCTCCTTTCCCAGTCACCAAAAGGGTGGATTGGGGACGAGGCATGAGGCAGCCTCAGCCCCAATCCTCTGCTTCTCAGGGCTGCCCATGGCCGCCCGTCTGCATCCTCCCTTTGTTTTGTAGGACCTGAGACTGCTCTATCTACCTATTACAAAGAAATACTTTAACAGAAATTTGTATAAGTCTGTGAAAGAAAAACTACAGAGATTAGGTCTCTCACATGATTTTCAATCCACCCTTGACTGGTTTAGGGCAAAACAGTTCCTTGCACAACAAATCAAATATATTGATATACAATACTCAGTGGCAATTGCACATTCTGTTTGTTCCTCCATTAGTTTGGGCCTATCCTTCAATACAAACTATTTGGAATATTTAACAATTCCTAAATATAGGTTGGCTTTCAATAAAGGCTGCTTTAATGTAATTCCATCTGCTATGTTAGAAGGATGTTTTCATCGAAATAAGTATAAGGATCAAATTTATCCCTGTGGAGATGGCCTAGTGGAAACAATCTCCCACATGCTCTTTCATTGTACTTTCTACAAAGATGACAGCTGAAACTAATCACACCTTTACTAAAATAAATAAATAAATAAACCAGGTAGAACCTATGAATGGTATCTGAAGTTCCTATTAGCAGATAACAATAGAAAAATTACTGAGGAAGTTGCAAAGTTCATTTTGTCTGCCATCAAGCCTGGAAAGTAATGTGCCACAAAAGTTAAGAGCGAAGTAAATGTTTTGGACAAAACTCTTATGGAAAAAGGGTAACACGTTTTCTGATGCTGCAATTAATATTATACACACACACATATGGAAGTTGTTTTAAACATGCTATTTAGTGGAATCCATTGTACAAATGTAATATTCTATTTTATAAATTTGCCCAAATATTTTATGTTTTTATGTTTACTGATTTATTTTTTATGTCTGCCTTCGGTCTGTTGACTGAAATAAAGGTGATTGTATTGCAATCTTTTCCTGGCATTTCCATGAGTTCAATATAGGAGCTGCAATACAAGGTACATCCACCCATATTTTTTTTTGACTGATAAAAGGCAAAGCCATCCAATTTTTTAGATTGTGCTCATGTAAGCCTTGATTGTAAGCTTTCAAGGGGGGGGGCACTCAGCATTACATTTTGACAGGCCCCTATCTAAATTCTAATGATATCCATAGATGGGTGGATATAACACCATCGTTTGCTCAACCAGTTCTAGTAGAAAAAATATAAATTGCTGTTGCTTCACACACAGGACATTATCACACGGGGGATAGGATCTCATTGTCCCATCCCTGTCCTGTGCTTATCCTATGCTTATCTTGCAGTTGTGGGAAGAACTTTCACACAAAATTGCACTTATCCAGACATTGTCCCATCCAGAAAGCGCCACTGAACATGATCAAGCGAAAGGCTTTCTCACTAAATTGCACTGATCCTGTGAATGTCCTGTGAATGAAGTGGAATTGTCCCCTCATTTCCACTGATTTTGTATTATCAGAAGAGCCTGGTAATACAATTCCACTTCATTGATGGGACGTTCACGGGATCAGCGCAATGTAGTGAGAAAACGTTTCATGCAATCATGTTTAATTGCACTTTCGGGATGGGATAAAGTTGAACGTCCCCATGTGGTAATGTCCATATAAATTTTCTACCCTGGTAAAGTTACCATGGGAATCCTGTGGCTGTAGAAGTAATAATAAAAAGAGTATATAATTGATTGGGAACAACATGGGAACTGAGCACCAGAGGATTTCAACATGGTGTTGTAGAATATGCTCATCTTCCCCAGTAACAGAGGAAAATGGAGAACAGGTAGAGTAACTCACTTACAGCATTTTAAAACCACAAAATGGCTGCTGTAGTAGATGAGTGCTTAGACCTGTCATTATACCACCTGTAGAATCTGAATCTCTTCAAGCCAATAAACCTGACAGCTGATCAGGTGCGTCAACCCATGAAGAGGTGAGCATTTTGGCACATCTCTTTCACCATCATTTTACTCATGTGGAAAGTAACAAGTCTGAAATTGAAAGATTTCTGCTTGCATGGAGAATCTCAACATGAGCAAAGATCCTGAAAATAAATCATCATGATTCATGCTCCAACAAGAACCTCTTTTTTTCAGACTTGTCAATTTCTGTATGAGAAAAGCAACTATGGATCAAGGCATTCCCACAGTTACATATTAATTCCAGCCTAGTAAGTAACACTTGAACAGGGCTTTAACAATTCTAGAACCCACTGATCAAGTAGCTACAGTCAGTTCTAGTACAGAGGTGGGGAGCCGGGGTGAGGGAGCTTTCAGTGAATTACCAAAGCTGTTGTCCTCGGGACAAGAAAAGCTACATTTCTGTGTTTCTGAGAGGAACCAGATGTTGAAACATCTTGGACATATGACATTTGAGCATACATTTCCCCTGTTGGGGTACTAGTCCGAGGTTTTGTCTCATCGCTCTGTGTGTGTGTGTGACAGAGAGAGAGAGAGAGAGAGAGAAATGGACTATTGTCCATTGTCCCAGTCTTTATATAGGATAAAAGAGCCATGACTCTAATCTGCAGTAGTAATTTCATTTTTCCATTTTGACTCTATCCTTTCTTCTTTTTCAGAATCATTCCAACAGATTGATGCAGGTGGAGATCTCTTTGTGGCTGGCGTTAAATCAAACTATCAGCCAGTATGTCTTTCAAGTGCTGAGTTCCTCACAATGAAGCCTAGCTCCTTACCTGGACTAACCTGGACTAATATGGATTGGGAAATGAAATTTTTGACCTGTGGTTTGAAAGGTTGCTGGGGTGTGAACCGTGTAGATGCTGTCTATTTCCGTGTTGGCATTCAGCCACACAGATGCCAGGGAAACCGCTGGGATTACGTTCCTGGTACATTCTCCATGGTTAAGGTTGGGAGTGATGGAAGTGTCTATGCTGTGAAGAAAGGCGGGGAAGTCTACCACAGGTGAGAGCTACTGGAATGTATCTTTCACATGAAACATTACATTTGCCTAGACAATTTTGAGAGCAATGTGGCACAGTGGTTTGAGCGTTGGTCTATGACTCTGAAGACCAGGGTTTGATTCCCAGCATGGCCATGAAACCCCAAGTGAGTGACCTGGGGCAAGTCACTTGCTCTCAGCCTCAGGGGAAGGCAATGACAAACCTTCTCTGAACAAATCTTGCCAAGAAAACCCCGTGCTAAGTTTATCTTAGGGTCAGAAATGACCTGAAGGCACACCACCACTATCACTTTTGTGAAGGGTGATAGTGAAAACAGAGGAAAGTAGATATACTGGTCTCTTAAAATAACTGGGAGAGTTGTTTCTGTTTATAAAGAAATCTGTGCATTGGGACAGACTATCTTTGAAATATCTTCTGCAAGGCACAATTTTGAATTTTGTTTGGTTCATTTCTTAAAAGTGAGAATTACTCAGAAATGATTTCTTTATACAAAGAATTAATATGAAGAACTTGGGCCAGAATCCTGTATCAGCTACTTAGTTAAGTATGCTTAACTAAATAACCTCTCCTGGCATTACCCTCCCAAGCCTGATGGAAGCATCCTTCACCCATGCTCCAGTGCATACTTAATTAAGTAGCTGATGCAAGTAGCTGGCCTTGATTTAATAATACAGTTGGCCCTCGACATATAATAATAATAATAATAATAATAATAATAATAATAATAATAATAATAAAATTTATTTATATCCCGCCCTTCGGGGATCCAATCAGGGTGGCTTACAACAATAAAACATCTTTGACTTTGACTGATTTTGTCAAAGTGAGATATATTGGGATGTGTCACAATAAATGTAGAATAGAGATGCTGGAAAAACTGGTAGCCAATATAACTTGCTTGTGCTGTTCTTGAAATTTCCCTCCAAAAGAAGCATTAAAAGGTGGAAGGCAAGTTTGATAGCTGGTTGTTCTCCTGTCAGCGGACTGCATTTTAGTCTGAACATTAAAGGAGATTTTGAAGGTGCTGACCATCTCTCCTGTTTTTTTTCTTGGATAAGTTAAATAACTCCATTAAAGTTCAGCCCATCACCCTGAACACCTGTAGGTTGATGACTGGATTCAATACTCAACTGAAGCCATCACTGCCATTGCTGGATATATAAGTATTGCACATAATTAGGGGAAATTATAAATTAGGATTAGATATAAATATAGTCCTATTTGTCAATTAGGAAAGAAAGATGGTACTGCTCTCTCTCATGATTATACAGAAAAACATGGGGAAAATGTGAGCAGTCTCTATCTGATACCTGAAAAGCAAAAGAAAACCTGGTAAGCTTTCCTATTCCACTCCTGTGGCTGCTGGTCTATTGACTGTCCAACTGTAATTCTTAATTTTCTTCCTCTCTTCAATGACTTTTGCAATCTCTATCTTTGACCGAAATGCATGGCTCCATCCTATGAAACTGTGGGATTTGTAGGTTGATGAATATTCTGCACTCTTTATTTGACAGCTCTAGTCCACTCCCCTGACCTACAGCAGTAGAACTCCCTATCTAGCAGGGAATTCTAAGCCCCTTACAAAACTACTAATCCCAGAATTCCATAGGATGGCACCATAGCAATTACAGTGGTATTGGATTGTTACACGTGTGTTATCTCGCTATACTTTCAGATCAAAACTTTAAAACAAAGTGAGCAACTGTACATCTGTTTCCCTCAGAATCCATAGAAACTCAGGAATAGGTTGCTTCACAGTTTCTGTATTTTTATTTCATATGACATTGATTACCTTGTACATTACCAGAGCCTGAGGTATAGATATATGCATATAGGACACTGTGTATCCATAAGTCTCAAGACATTTCCCAGAATCCTTCATTCATTCAATAGGGAGTGATGGCAGTTGTAGCACTTTGTGAATGTAATTGGATTGGAATGGAGTGAAATTTTATTTTGCGTGCATTCTGTGCAAAAGAACCAGATGGTGAATTTGGGCACTTAGTTCACACACTAGTCCACAATAGGTAAGCTGAAAAAAGTTAGTCAAATCTCTTTGAATTCTCTCAGACATGGTGAACTGGTTATGATACCATAATTAGACTGAATAGTTGTTTTTGTTTTTAAAAAAATCATATTTGTGTGCCAAAAGTTGTCCAAATGAGCTCTGAAGAAAGGACTGAGGTATATTCAAGATTTTTTTTAAAAAAAGTATTTGAAAAATAAATCAAACTGACTGTCAGATAATTATTATTTTCACTTCTCTACCTATTGTTTTAGGGTTGGGATCACAGACAGCAAAGCTGCTGGCACCAAATGGATGAAAGTCAACAACATCACTGCCCATGCCAAGGATTTGGCTTATGACCTGAATGTTCTATGGCTGATCACCCAGGATGACAAGATTCTGCGATGTCAGATGTAGCTCGATATCACTCCTTCTTGCTTTCATTTTTTGGACTTGACTCCAAAGTGGTTGGGGTTTTGTGAGCATTTCATTTAAGCATCTGCAAATATGTTAGTAGAATCTTTATGCTTTCACTGCCAACTGTTTTCAGATCTGAAAGGATGGACAATATCTTCTGCTTATTCAGAGGGAGAATTTGGGTCCATTGATTTTTCATAGGCAGCGTTACTGTTGTAGCAACTCTGGAAATGGCAAAACCAACCCCCACTAAAGCCTCTCAGGCCAAGAGGGTTGTCAGACAGCATGTTTTAATCTCACTCCACCAATTTTTAAAGCTTCTAGGCTTTCCAGTTCATGATCTTGGGTTGCAAAAGACATCCAGGCCCACAGATCGTTGGGAAGGAGGTATTGACCATGAGCACTGGGTAGGGAGGAATGTTTACTTCATTCCATCCTGCTTCATCCTTCAAGTAGGGGAATTCAGGTAACTTGCTGTGAAAGCTCATCCCACTTTTGCTCACTTCTTTTTCTTATCCCATTTCAGGAAGGGAAGTATGTCTCAACCCAATTTTTGCTGTTGGCTAGAACTGGTCATGCTATGACTTGATGCCCAGTCTTCTCCATGAATAGTTCTGGAAATCATATTATTTTTGTGAATGTGCTTTAGCTGTCCAGCAAAATAGGCCAAATCTGAATTTCACCTAGATCAGATTAGGCTCCTTCAAACCTTTCAAACTGTTCACATTCCTCCTACTTTATTGAGAAAGGGTGAGTGCAACTATAAGAGTTTATGGCTTGTGTCAGAGCAGGTTATCTTTGTTTTGAGAACATTTTCAAATCAGATGAAGCATCAACTTCCTAAA